AATTAATTAAAGCAAGAAGCCTTGGGCCCCTTTACCAAGGTCAGTCTCCTGATAAGAGTGTGAGCCTATCTTAAGAAACTGGTCCTGCGGATGGACAAGAGCCAAGGAGCAACTGAGTCTGCGCAGAGACAAGAGGTCAACTAGTGGTGACGAAGAAGAGTCATCAATCTTCATCCCCACGACCCCCGACGACCACCACTAGAATACACTGCGCAAGCGCAGATGGGAGGAGTTTATGGAAGTGACTCCTTGGAACTAATTTTAATACGAAGCAGGGACAGGTTATGAATATATATAGGCGTAGTGTGAAACTTCATGCATATGTAACTCTTTACTGCATATATCCAAGGCAATTTGCTGTGTCAGGTGCGCACGACTTTGGTGGGACTACCTCCTGTGCTGCCCAGCGCTGAATAAACATACCTACTTTACAATCTTACTGATTGTGTTGTCCGTTTTCCGCAAGTCATCCCCCCAAGAATATAAGTTAGGTGTTGATGGATTTTTGAAACAGCAAAGATCCCACAGCTTGCTGCAGCTGAGCAAACCAAGCTACCAGGGCAACTATGAGAAGTTCCCATGACATTGTTCCCACATCACCCAATTGAGGAATTCAGAAAAATATTGTTACCAGCAGCTGGCTTCAAGGACAAGGTCTACGTGACTGCTAATCACAAGGGGGTTGTCTTCTTGCAGGTGGGGTTGTTTTCTTATAGTTGTTTGAGTGGTTTTGACCAATAATCTTGTGTGAGACACTATCCGCCTCTGTTTAGTTCACTATAAAAATTAGGCTATTCAGGCAATAAAATGGAGCATGATCTGACTCTACTGGTGTCTGTCATGTTTTCGGCCATTCTTCCTGCAACAGTTAGGCCCTAGGAATTGGTCTAATAGTTCAGTTATCCTTATGGGGTCCTCAATTAAAGACTTCATCTCCTTCTTAAAACTCCTAAGCTCTCTGCTGTAGGGAGGGGGGGAGTTCACCTAAGAGGATAAGTAGTTAGTATTAGTATTGTTACTATTTGGTAAGGCAAAAAAGGAATCTTATTGTTTACACATAAATTTAAAGCCTGAATTTTCATCAGACCGGTATTTTAGCCAAAATACTGCTGTTTCCTTAATTGGCTCTTTTGTCCAGACTGATACACAATATTTAACTATTTTCTTCTTTTATCATCTCCTCTAATTTTGGGATTATTCTTCCAATTTCTCAGCATCCTTCCTATAGGACTGTTAGTAGGCACTCCCCCAGGGATATCTCCCTGTCCCCTGGAACCCATATTTCCTAGCCCTTGTAGGTGTGCTGCTACAGAATTTTCCCTCCTGCAGGGTACCACACACTAACATTCTGATTCTGGAAAATGGGGGTGTACTGCCAAGCACATCACAGTACAAAGGGTACAGCACACCCATTAGTTTACCAGATTCCCTGGTGTACTTCCAAGCACTTCCCCGGGCAAGGATTACCGTATACCAAATTTCCCAAGACTCTTCCTTTCTCTCCCTTATCTCACACTTCATCTGTCTCTGGCCGCACCCCTCGTGTAGCTACGGAACCGTGGATCAGGACTCCACACTCGCTTCGTACAAAAGTACGTCTCAATCACACATCACACAGAGTCTCTCCAAAACCCCCAAGGCAATACTTAATATTTCTTACCTTGGTCTGTGCACAGAGTTACCGGATCAATTCTTAAACCCAAAGTGCCTACCTTCTTCCCTTCCCCACTACTTAATGGATACTGCCTCTTTAATCAGTCTCGGGTCCTCTGTCAGCTCTCCGCAGAAGCGCCACTGTCGATGCACAGGACCGCCGAAATCAGCGGGGCATGCCTTCCTGCTGCTGCGGCAGTGGGGCTCCCCAGTAGGTGACAGGATCCCAGAGGAGCCCCCAAATTGTGAGAAACACTCTGTAGCCAATAACTTAGGCTCAGGCAAGGATCTCAGTGAAGTACTAATTTATTTGCGATTGTAATGGCAGGCATCCCACAAGCAGGAGTGCGCCTACTAGTCACATAGTACAGTTTATATACTTTCTTTCTTGACGACCGGGACCCTCCCCTGTTTCCCCATTGACTGGGTAGCCCAGGTTCACAACCTATCTGACGTTTCACAGATAACACATGGCTTTCAGTTACCAGCCTGTTATTTTTTAAATTTCTTTTGACTTTTTTAATCTGTGAGGTGGTAATGTTTCTTCCCTTATCTGGCTTGACTTGATACCATGAATTTCACCTAATTTGCACTAGGGAGTCTGGTTGTCTGCATTTTACAAGGTTGTCTGTTAAGCTTTCTAATCACTGCAAGCATATCTCAATACCACATCCCTTCCCACTAATCAATGTAACATCTCTAGAAAAAAAACACCTCTTTCTTACATGTTCACATACATCCAGGAAACACTTTTCTGTTGAATACCAATTTGGTACTTGTCTTTCTCCCCCTTCCCCCCCATATATTGGGTATTCCCAAGCAGCAGTATACCTGGTACTTCCTGTCCTGGTTTCAGTTAGGACAGAGTTAATTTTCCTCCTAGTAGCTGGTAGGGTGCTATGTTTTGGCTTAGGATGAGAAGAGTGCTGATAACATGATGATGTTTTAATTGGCGTAGAGCAGTGCTTACACCAAGCTGAGGACGTTTCAGCTTCTTGCTCTGTCCTGCCAGCGGGCAGGCTATGGGTGCAGCAATAGTTGGGAGGGGACAGACCTAGGACAGCTGACCCAAACTGGCCAAAGGGGTATTCCATACCATCTGACGTCATGCTAAACAATATATAGGGGTGCCTAGCTGGGGGAGGAGGGCTGGACTGCTCAGGGTTAAACTGGGCATCGGTCAGCGGGTGGCAAGCACTTGCATTGTGCATCACTTGTTTTGTACACATTATTAGTAGTAGTGCTATTATCATTATGTTATAAATGAAGTCTCAACTCAATCTGAATTTTGTAATATTTATAAAAGGTATAAAAGGCAAGTAAACAGCACTGGGTGTGCGGGGAGTCTACGCTCCACCAACACGCACACACAAACATCAAACATTCTAAACATATAGAACATTGCTTTTACATACTAAATCCGAGTATGCCTATACACACGTACAATCAGAAAAGGTAACAAACAATCCTTTAAGTTCCATGACTTAAAAGTCTCCATCTTCCATTCCTTTTGAACAATATGTCTTGCTTTAAGTTGTCAAGCAACTCGGTCTTCAGGCCTTATGTATCCCGTTCTTCCTGAATCGAAGAAAATCCATCTCCTTTTCAAGGCCAATAGGGCCTGGGTCAAAAGGCACGTCCAGGTCACCAGGGGGCGTAACAGCAAAAGCCTTCGATGGCTGTAGCAGCAGAGGGGCCGATGGTGTAGCAGAAGGATCGGTGGACAAGTCCGCAGCTCCCTCACTGTCTGGCAAACCACACGTGTCTGACTGTGGTCCCACATGGCTCTTCAAGGCCTCAGAGACTGCTCGCCAGGTGCCGAGCAATCCCACTGCAACCTTGTCGTTTTTAGTTGCAGAGTCCCACACCTTGACCTCAGTTTGGTCCCATGTTTCAGGATCATCAACTGTCTGATTGTTAAGAAGGAGAATAAGCTGTAAGGTTACCAGGACAGTCTTTGTTCCTAAGGACGTATGATTCCCCGTAATGCACAACTGCTTACCAGCGAGGGGCAGTTGTGCGCGTGGGTTCGCTTCTCTCAGCTTGAGCTTCTTCCCAGCTCCGGTGCACCTGTTTCCAGCGACTTTCAGTATGAGCTTCTCTGAGCAGTTTGCTGAGTCTGGCCGAACCTACCTTCATGAGGCGATCAATGTGCCTGTTCCCATCCTGGTCTCCATTCTGCTAGCCTGTTCCTTTTCATTCTTTCTTGTTGCTTCTTTATTGATGACATAACTTCATTATATCGTGTTGTCTTTTTTTTATCTTGAGGGCAGGCTCCCCTCTTATACCCTTCTCTCCACAGCAGTTCTTTTCAAAACAACTTTTCATTGGTCAAACAACTCTGAATGTAGCAACAACAGCAAACACCCAGAAACATCCATGCCTTAACAGTTGGAGAACAAGCAACCTGAGACTGCATGGCATCTCCTGAATTACCCTTCTTTGTTCCCGCTAAACTCTTATATTCCTGATGGCCTCATCGTTAAGAGTCTAATGTCATCTCAACCACGGGGCTTGCCCACCCCCATGTTTTCGGATAGAAAGTTGCCCAAAATAATGAAACAAGCTATAACACTCATTAAAAGTGAACTACTGACTGAGAGCTCCATATTCTCTTCAACGTTTATGATGACCAGTACTGTGAGGTGACTAAAAAAGCAAAGCTCCTCCTCTTATGACGAGAGCATATTTTTGTTTTGTTATTAAAAACAGTGAATGTAATAATTATTGTATAATAAGTTTGTTAATCTAACCAGTGGGGAAGCTTGTGGGGGCTGTGACAACCCTGTATAGCTGGAAAGTCTCCAGCTGCCCATCCTGATAAGAACACATACAGTGCTTGCTCAGCAAGATCGCAAACCCGCAACACAGAGGAAGACTACGGCCTTCATCCTCACGACCAGCAGGAGCTCCGAGATTACACCCTAGCAACAGTACGCGCAACCGCAGGACATACCAGGATATGCCACGTACACCCGGAACAACCAAGCTATAAAAAGGGGGACTCTGGCGGGGGTGAGGTGCGTGTCTTGGTGGAGCAGAGACTCCCGGCGCACCCAGCGCTGTTTGCTTACCTCTATTCCTTTAATAAATTGTAAACTTTGATCGTAACCCTATTTGGGACTCAGTCATTTATAACAGTGAATACCTCTGGCACAGCATAGCCAAAAGCAATTTATAAATGAACTGCTCAAAGTTCCCCATGCCACACTTAAGCTTTGATTAAAGCAACTGCTTTGGTTTATGTTTTTCTGTTGCATTACATGCAACACCAGTGCAGCTCCATTAAAGTTAGACAAGTTGTTTTAGATTCACTCCCAGCTTAAATGCCACAACTTCAGTGCAGATTAGGCAAAAGAATTCATCTTTATTAGGTTGCTTACTCAGGAGATGAGAGAGAAACTCTTGTACTTGAAGTATTGTTTAATGCTCTACTTAAACATGAGTGCAAAGCAAGTGAGCTAGACCTACTACACTATTCCTATTTAATATATTTTTCACCATGAAGTCGATTTTTGCCATCAGTACATTTTGCCTAACAAAAGGCAACATCCATCTGTAACATAAGCCTAGCTGCAGAAGCACATACCTCCCTGCAGCATTTGCAGAGCTAACGACAACGTGCTTGAATCCCTCTTCAGTTCCGTGATTATTTGGTCACCAACAATTTCTGCAAGGTTGCGTTCACAACACACTTGCCCATTTATCTTTGCTGCAGCTGCTGTGGAACTAAGGAAGTTACAGAACACAGCAAAAGTGTTGTGGTGCTACAAAGCCTGCAATGATCTTGTTAGGGCAAGCGAGATTTTGAGAGCTGGTGTTTCAGCAGGTGTTTGTCCCCTGGAAGCTGTTCCATGAAGGGTGCTGGCTGCTGACCAGCTGAGGTGACGAGCACATGTGGAGAAAGAAGGCAGAGAGATTCTACTTCGGGCTTATTCCTGTTATAAGGCTGTTTATACAACTAGGCCTTGCTTTTTAGTGCTGCTGCACAAAACACTCCTGCTGTGCAACTATAAATAATTATAGAACATCCAAAACAAAACAAAAAAAAAATCTCTGTCCCTTGCAAGTCAGACCACAGAGTGCAGCTTCTGCTCAGAAGTCATGAAAGCAAAGAGACAATCCCATCAACTCATACGCTTTGAGGATTATAAGATGCTGGACCTATACATTTCTTAAACACTTGATTCATTTCAGCAGAACTAACCAACCTGCAGAGAATAAATTCTGGATTCCACACTAATTTAATCAGAAATAAATACGTGAAATTGCAGCCTTAGCCAATGAGGCCAGACCACTAACTCCAGGAGAAAAGATTTACCGGTTTGTATGATCTCCAGTTATTAATCACGAGACACCATTTTTATATTCCCCTATAACTTCTCAAATCCAAAAATCAGTTTCAGAGCCTGCCATTTCAGCATTCGTTAAAGCATATAAAACTATGTGAACAAGGTAAGTTACCTGAACATCAGGACAGAACAACACGTAAAACCAAAATAGAGGATGATGAATAAGAAAAAAACATCTTATGAGCAAATTCTGTCTGACATTATATTTATCATTTAGAAATCATAGGGACAGTCACTAACTCCCTGTTTGCATGGCAAGAGGAAAGATTCAACCCCCCTGTTGCACTCCATCCCCCCAAAAAGTCAATTGCCCCGTGCAGATTAGAAAGATGCTGAGCATAGGCACAAGCCTTATGGTCTGGTTCACAGCCATACATGTACATGTATGTGCAGAACCATGCTTTCAGATGAGAATGGGCCACAGCTAAATAATACGTTAATTCAAAATTCACCGTGTATCATTTTAACTCTGCTCATAATTACTTCCTAACATTTTCCTTGTCAGCCCACATGCTTGGATTATAGACAAAGGGAAGAAGGGAAAGTAACAAGCAAGGGAAAGAGGAGCAAGTGAGGTGGCACTTACTGTGTTGCATTTTGTCCCGCACACCACTTGTCGGTGGTTCAGCCACTGGGAAGCAAACACTTTATTAAGGGTTCCAAGGTGAAACTCTCTCTCCTTCAGAACACTGGGAAGCTGCTGGGCTGCATATTCATGCAACAAGCGGTGATAGCTGGACTCATTCTGCATCCACACCTCTCTACCTTTCAGGTAGTACACCAAGGACCGCTTCACCAGGGGGAGCCTTTTCCTTTTGTGAACAGTGATCCCACCCATACTGTGAAAAATAAACGTGGAAGTTAGAGGAACTTAAAGCAGCACCCTTCACAGAGTCACAGAATTGTAGGGGTTGGAAGGGTCCTCAAAGATCATCAAGTCCAATCCCCCTGCCAAAGCAGGTTCCCTAGAGCAGGCTGCCCAAGTAGACATCCAGACGGGCCTTGAATATCTCCAGAGAAGGAGACTCCACAACCTCCCTGGGCAGCCTGTTCCAGTGCTCTGTCACCCTCACCGCGAAGAAGGTCTCTCGCATGTTGATGCGGAACTTCCTGTGCTCTATCTATCTCGTGACCATTACTCCTTGTCCTGTCCCCACAAACCACTGAAAAGAGGTTGGCCAAATCCCTCTGTCTCCCACACCTCAGGTATTTATACACATTGATGAGATCCCTTCTCAGTCTTCTTTTCTCCAGGATGAACAGACCCAGGTCTCTCAGCCTTTCCTCATAAGGAAGATGCTCCAGGCCCCGTATCATCTTGGTGGCCCTCCGCTGGACTCTTTCCAGGAGATCCCTCTTTTTTGTATCGGGGAGCCCAGGACTGGACACAGTACCCCAGGTGAGGCCTGACCAGGGCAGAGTAGAGGGGGAGGATCACCTCCCTTGACCTGCTGGCCACACTCCTTTTAATGCACGACAGGATGCCATTGGCCCTCTTGGCCACCAGGGCACACTGCTGGCTCATGGTCAACCTGTCATCCACCAGGACCCCCAGGTCCTTCTCCTCAGAGCTCCTCTCCAGCAGGTCGTCCCCCAGCCTGCACTGATAGATGCAGTTGTTCCTTCCCAGGTGCAGGACTCTACACTTGCTCTTGTTAAACCTCATTTGGTTTCTTCCTGCCCATCTCTCCAGCCGGTCCAGGTCTCATTGAATGGCAGCACAGCCTTCTGGCATGTCAGCCACTCCTCCCAGCTTTGTGTCATCGGCATACTTGCTGAGGGCAGACACTATTCCCTCATCAAGGTTGTCGATGAAGATGTTGAACAAGACCGGACCCAGCACCGACCCCTGGGGAACACCGCTAGTCACAGGCCTCCAGCCAGACTCCACGCTGTCGATCACCACCCTCTGAGCTCGGCCAGTCAGCCAGTTCTCAACCCACCTCACTGTCCACTCCTCTATCCCACACTTTCTCAGCTTTGCTAGCAGGATGTCATGGGAGACAGTATCAAAAGCCTTGCTAAAGTCAAGGTAGATGACATCCACCGCCCTCCCCCATCTACCCAGCTGGTGATGCCATCATAGAAGGCAACGAGGTTGGTCAAGCATGAATTTCCCTTGGTGAATCCATGCTGACTACTCCTCATAACCTTCTTCTCTTCCACTTGCTTGGAGATGGCATCCAGAACAAGCTGTTCCAACACCTTTCCAGGGACAGAGGTGAGACTGGCCTGTAGTTTCCTGGATCCTCCTTCTTGCCCTTCTGGAAGACCGGAGTGACACTGGCTATCCTCCAGTCTTCAGGCACATCTCCTGTTCTCCAGGACCTTTCAAAGATGATAGAGAGCGATTCGGCAATCACCTCTCCCAACTCCCTCAGCACACGTGGATGCATACCATCGGGACCCATGGATTTGCGTGCGTTGAGCCCACTCAGACACTCCCGAACCACTCTCTCGTCAACAAGGGGGGAGCCCTCCATTTCCCAGACCCTTTCTCCTTCCTCCAGGGTCAAGGAGTCCCGGGGGGGAGTCTTTGAAGCAAAGACTGAAGCAAAAAAAGCACTCAGTATCTCCACCTTCTCAATGTCTCCCATTACCAGGACACTCCCCTCATTCAGCAAGGGACCCACATTATCCCTAGTCTTCCTTTTACATACTTAAAAGATAATAAGAAGAGCTTCTTTTATCTCTTTTGCAAACCTCATCTCCAGGTGGGCTTTAGCCTTCCTCACCCACAAGCTCTCCACTTGTGCTTCACCTTCCCCCAGGTGGAGCTGGGTACACTCTAATTGCTCCCTCACATAAAGGGCAACCCCACCTGCTCACTACCCTTGTAAATTCAGAATGCTGAAATTGAGGTGGCTACTCTACTGAATACCATAGCAGATTAGCTTGGATTTGCCGGTCTCCAAAAGTTTATAGAAATAACAAATGTTTGCTACAGAAGCAACACCACAGCGATACCCCTATCACTCCACAGGGATTTACTGATGTCGTTGCTTACGGAAACAGGAGAAAAGAAGGGGGGAAAACAACAGTTTAAACAGGCGAAGACCGCCTCCCCCAGCCCCAGCCTCACCGTTTTGGGGTCACAGCTAAGAGAGGGGGCTGGAGACGGACCAGGGGGGCCGTGGGTCTCCTGCGGCCGGCCTTGGGGTCGGCCCAGTGTATGGCTGCAGAGCTGGGGGCGGCGGGCACGGTGGTTACGTGTCGAGCAGCGGCACCCAACAGGAACGGGGCGGGGGCAGAACCTCATGACGTCTCCCCCAACAGGGCACCCTCACACCACGGCCCCCCCCTCAGGGCCCCTCCGGCCACCTCCCCAATCCCAGCGTCCCTCTCCTCTCACACCGCCCACCCCCTAAAGCCTACCTGTTCCCCATGGAGTCCCCCGGGCCCCGCGGCAGTCGCCGCCGCTTTTCGCTTCCTGCTAACTGTTTTCCGGGCCATAGTAGAATGAGGGGGAGGAAGAGAAGCCGAGAACCCGGCCCGAGCCCCACGTGAAGCAGGTGGTCTCCAGGGCTAGGGGCATAAGCGTGAGGGAGCCGGGCCGGGCCGCGCCTTACGACATTGCCCCAACGTCTTTGTGACAGCCGTGATGCCGCTTGACGGCAGCTCCTCGGTTTCCTAGCACTACCCTCCCTCCCTCCCTGCCCCCGCCCGTTGGGGGTTGCCAGGCAACTCGCGCCGTCAGGGCGGAGCGGCGCAACCCCGCGGTGGTTGAGGGGAGGCGGTCCGGAGAACCCATCATCGGGCCCGGATCTCTCTCGGTGCCAGTCCGCAGGGCCTCTGCCGCTGCTGAGGGGCCACAGGTGCACTGACAGAATGTTCCCAGCTGGAAGGGACCCAAGGGTCACCCAGTCTGGCTCCTCACAGGACCACCCAAACCCTATGTCTAGGAGCCTTGTCCAAGCACTCCATGACCTCCACCAGGCTCGGTGACGTTGACATGCAGAAAACGGACTCCACAATCAGTAAGATTGTAAAGTAGGTATGTTTATTCAGCGCTGGGCAGCACGGGGGGTAGTCCCACCAAAGTCGTGTGCACCCCAACGCGGCAACTTGCCGTGGTTATATGCAGTAAAGAGTTACATATGCATGAAGTTTCCCAATATGCGTATACATATGCATGACCTATCCTGGCTTCATATTAAAATTAGCTCCAAGAAGTCATTTCCATAAACTCCTCCCATCTGCGCTTGCATAGTGTCTCCTGGTGGTGGTCGTCGGGGGTCGTGGGGATGAAGGCTGATAACTCTTCTTCATCACCACTAGTTGACCCCCTGCCTTTATGCAGACTCAGCTGCTCTTGGCTCTTGTCCAAACCACAGGGTTGGTCTCAGCCTGTTCTTGAGACAGGATCTCTGTTTTTATCGGTAACCATCCTTTGTGAGAGGCCCCAAGACTCCTTGTTTCAGTTGATTTGCACAGTAGTAAGCAAAGACATTAAGCAGCATCTGTTTTTAATACAATAATCTAGGTATTCATTAGTCAGCATTCTGTCTACTAAGATTCTCTTAACTCCCTTTCTCACCATGACCGCTTCCCCGTGGAGCGTGTCCCAGTGCCCAGCCACCTTCTCAGTTGTGGGAACAAAAATGTTGTTTTTTGCACCAGAATTGGTAACATAAGCACAGGAAGTACCAGACATGCTGCTTCTTGGGAATGCCCAATGTATGGGGGGCAGGAGGGGGAAGAAAGACAAGTACTAAATAAATATTCAACAGAAAAGCATTTACTGGGTGCAGGTGACCGTGTAAGAAAGAGCTGAACAACTAGATGACACCAGCAAAATGGATTGGGAAAACAGAATAGCATTAGATATTGTGAGAAACACTCTATAGCCAATAAATTGGCTCAGGTGAGGATCTCAGTGAAGTAGTAATTTATTCACGATTGCAATGGCAGGCGAGGCGTCCCACAAGCATGAGCACACCTACTAGTTCCTAAACTAGCAGGTTCAAGTTCTACAAGTAGGTTCAAGTAGGTTCATTCAAAAATCAAGGATGTAAATATGGACATTGCCATCCCTTTCCATTTACCAAACCAAGATTCCAACCATCCGGTAGTGGAAGTGTCTGTTCCTGAGTTTTCTGCCAATTCACTGGCAAGGGTGGTAAGCCCTTGCAATGCTCTAGTTACTGTGCCATCCGGGCAGTATTGTTGGGTATAAAAGTGCAACAGTGGTTGCTCAGTATCACACACACACCTCTAAACTCGAGTACGCCTATACATATGTACAATCAGAAAAGGTCCTTTAAGTCTATTACTATCAATGTCCATGCTATTCCTATCAATGTCCATGACTGGGGGAGCATAGCTGGAGTTGGTAATCCTGGCTGAAGTGCTCCCATATCTTCCATGACTTATAACAGTCTCCATTTTCTTGATTACAAACACTGGAGTATTCCAAGGCTAGTCGTGGGAACAATATGTTTTGCTTTAAGTTGTCAAGCAACTCGGCCTTTGGGCCTCATGCATCCCACTCTTCCCGGATCGAAGGGAAACATATCCATCTCCTTTTCAAGGCCAATAGGGCCTGGGTCAAAAGGCACGTCCAGGTCACCAGGGGGCGTAACAGCAAAAGCCTTCGATGGCTGTAGCAGCAGAGGGGCCCATGGCATAGCAGTCAGATCAGTAAAGGAGCCCACAGCTCCCTCACTATCTGGCAAACCACACGTGTCTGACTGTAGTCCCACATGCCTCTTTAAGGCCTCAGAGACTGCTCGCCAGGTGTTGAGCAATCCCACTGCAACCTTGTCATTTTTAGTTGCAGAGTGATATAGTATAAACTCACTTTAGGATAGAATAAAACTTGTGGAATGATATTGTATAAACTCACTTTAGGATAGAACTTGTGGTGTTTGCTGTTGTTGTTACATTCAAAGTTGTTTGACCAATTAAAAAGTTGTTTTGAAAAGATCTGCTGTGGAGAGAAGGGTATTAGAGGGGAGCCTGCCCTCAAGAAAAAAAAAAAAAAAAAAAAAAAAAAAAGCAACACTATGAAGTTACATCAGTACAGAAGCAGGAAAAAGAAGTGAAGAGGAACAGGCTGGCAGAATGGGGACTGTTAAGTTATGGAACTCAAAGGATTGTTTGTTACCTATCCTGATTGTATGTATGTATAGGCATACTCGGGTTATTATGTAAAGCAATGTTCTGTATACATGTATTTAGAACGTTTGATGTTTGTGTGTGCGTGTTGGTGGAACGTAGACTCCCTGCACACCCAGCGCTGTTTACTTGCCTTTTATATACCTTTTAGAAATATTTGTTTTATAAATATTACAAAATTCAGACCTCATTTATAACAGGAAACAAATGGGGATACATAGGTTTTTATATCTACCTGGATCTCCAAAATCTCTATTAGGTTGAGATCTGTTAGAACAATTAGAAGCAGAAATTTGAAAAAAGGAAAATGGAATTAAGGATAAGAGAAGAACAACTAATAAATGTGTTAAGCCTGGCACTAATACAAACCGACCCTAAAAGTGAAATACCCTTAGAGATCATAAATCAAGTATATCCAGGAGTTTGGGCCACTGAAGTCTCTGGAAGAGCTAAAAATGTGACCCCAATAATTATTAAATTAAAGCCAGGAGAGAAACCCGTTAAGGTTAAGCAATATCCTTTGAGGATAGAAGATAGGAAAGGAATTAAAGAGATAATTGATAGATTTATACAGTATGGATTATTGATTGAATGCGAATCAGAATACAGTACACCCATATTGCCAATTAAAAAGGCAGATGGAAAAAGATATAGGCTAGTTCAGGATCTGAGGGCCATAAATAAGATCACCGAGGATATACATCCAGTAGTGGCAAACCCTTATACTTTGCTGACTAAATTAAGGAATAGTCAAGTCTGGTTTACCGTACTGGATTTAAAAGATGCCTTCTTCTGCCTACCTTTAGCCACTGAAAGCCAAAACCTATTTGCTTTTGAATGGGAAAACCGTGACTCAGGCAGAAAGACACAGCTTACGTGGACAGTGCTACCTCAAGGATTCAAGAATAGCCCCACTATTTTTGGAAACCAATTAGCAAAGGAACTTGAAACTCGGATACCTCCGGACACTGAAGGGGCTTTGTTACAATACATAGATGATCTCTTAATAGCTACCAAGACTAAAGAGAGTTGTATTCAATGGACTATAAGTCTCCTTAATTTTCTGGGTTTAAATGGATATCGAGTCTCTCAACAGAAAGTCCAGCTGGTTCAACAACACGTGACCTACTTGGGATTTGGAATTTCGGGAGGTCAGCGAGAACTAGGAACTGAACGTAAGGAAGTCATTTGCTGGACTCCAGAACCCCAAACGGTAAAAGAGCTACGAACCTTTTTAGGAACGACAGGTTGGTGTCGCCTTTGGATTTATAATTATGGACTAATGGTAAAGCCTCTATATGAATTGATAAAGAGTAATCAGTCAAAGTTAGTCTGGACTGGAGAGGCACGAAACGCCTTTAAACAACTTAAACGAGAATTGATGCAAGCTCCGGCTTTGGGATTACCGGATCTCTCGAAACCCTTTTGGTTGTTTTCTTATGAGAGACAAGGGATAGCTTTGGGAGTACTAGCACAAAGATTGGGTCCCTATAAACGAGCAGTAACTTACTTCTCTAAACAATTAGATGAAGTAAGTAAAGGATGGCCTGGATGCCTTCGAGCTGTTGCAGCTGTTGTTATCAATATACAAGAAGCTCGGAAGTTTACAATGGGACAGAAAATGACAGTGTTAGTCTCCCATACGGTCTCAACAGTTTTGGAACAAAAAGGAAATCATTGGCTTTCACCACAGAGATTTTTAAAATATCAAGCAATATTAGTAGAACAAGATGATGTGGAAATTGTGGTCACTAACGTCGTAAATCCAGCTTCTTTCCTTAGCGGAACTCTGGATGAACCTATAACTCATGATTGTATAGAAACAATGGAGACTGTGTATTCTAGTCGACCCGATCTTAAGGAAGAACCTTTAGAAGGTGCTGATGAATCTTGGTATACTGATGGGAGCAGCTTTGTAAAACAAGGACAACGTAAGGTAGGATATGGTGTTACAACTGCTCAACAGGTAATCGAGTCCAAACCATTACCCCCTGGGACGTCCACCCAGAAAGCAGAGGTAATTGCACTTACGTGAGCATTGGAACTGGCAGCAGGAAGGGAAATAAATATTTGGACAGATTCTAAATATGCATTCGGCATGATACATGCTCATGGAGCGATTTGGAAAGAACGTGGATTGCTGACTGCTCAGGGAAAACAAAAAGAAAACATGCTGAAGAAATTTTAAAATTGTTAGAGGCTGTAAAACAATCAGAAAAGGTAGCTATCATGCATTGTCAAGGACACCA